CTGCACATAAGCACACACTTCCACCCACCCACACTCCTACCCACCTGCCCGCACGGGCCAGATGAAAAGGCCAGGTGGGCCGGATATGGCCCGCAGACTCTACTTTGGAGATTTTTGATCTAGAACATAATCTTTAGAATCAAAAAGATACAGTAATAAAGATTGAAAGCTATCTGTTAATTTCTAATAACTTGTCATGCTGGTAGTTGTGCATGTAGTAGATATTGAAGCCGGAGTGTTGGTGAGGGGTAGCAAGCACCCAGAAACTAGTTTTACTTCCAAATTGGCTAAAGCTCAGTCAGCTTCTATTAACAATCAGTTTTGTTTGGCATGGAGCCTGGATCCAGTCATCAGGTAGTCTTACAGTCTTGTGTAAGACCCGTTGTTGGGATACCATTGGGAGTGATGCTCATTGGGATGCATCAACCATGTATACTTTGTATATTAAAAAGGAGAATTAAATTGAAATAAGGGAGCCCTAATCAGGGTAAAGAGGTAATCTGGTGGTTTTTTATTTTAGGTAAACTGAACTAGATATAAAGCTGGGTCATAGGTCTGGAACCACTTTCAATAATAATGTTATCAGAAGACCTTGAGAAGATTATACAATATGAGAGTAATATTATGATAGTAGTCATATTATATACTAAAATCTGTACATGAATGGATTGAATGTTTGAAAGATGTCTGGAATTTTGGGGGGACAACCGGGAAGACACTGAAATGTAAAAAACAAATAATTGTAAGCAAAGCATGTACCACGATGTTTGATAAGCACAAACAATGTAGATAGATTGAAAACTAATAAAATGTTTATTAAAAAAATGTACTGTTAGATCCACAGTTAGACTGTAACATTCTAAGCATTTGAGAATGATAAATGTATAATTAAGAAAGGAAACATTGTATGTGTAAAGGCAAAACTAGAGAACAATCTGTATGTGCTAAAGAGTAAAACACAGAGTGACACACATGCCATAGTGAAAAACACACCCCAGCACAATCAGTGAGCACATTTGTTGCATAGGAGATTGGGACATGTGAATTTCAGAACACTGCAAAAGATAGAAACAATGGCAAAAGGTGTGAAACTGTGGCTTACAACCAAAAAATACCACAATGTAAATAAAAATAATATCACATAAAGAAAAGCTTTCCCGATATCTTATAGGGATGGGCAGGTAAAAGTGTCAGACTTTGCCAAAAACACAACTGCTAGACTTGCCTGAACTGGTCTAACTCTGTAATCCTCTGTTAAAACCAGGACTATAACTTAATTAGTAGTTTTGGTACCTGTGGAGCAAGCAGTGCAAAATGCACCCTCAAATGAACTTTGAAATTCATTGTATTAAAAAAAAAGAAGTATAGTAATTACAACACTGGATGTCATAGCACCATCTCCCCTGGAGTATTGTCAGAGCTATAAAACAATTTAAAATGTATGTTTATCTGCTGCATCATGTACTTGATTAAGCTGACTTTCCGTACTGCCCATCTTAGAGGCCCAATATAACAAGCCTTGGTTAGACATGTCCTCTGACGGGAGAGGTGTAGCTTACCCATATGGTAGAGAAGTCCTCTGTCAAGACACTGCCTTTTATTTGGAAGTCCAGATAACAGGCCTGTTCTACCAAATCAGAACATATATGATGTTTGACACATAATACATATTACATATATTTATTATGTGTTAAAACATCATATTATTACATATTATTACATATAAAAGTGCAGAGAATATTCCATATTGAAATAGATATGATGAAGAGATGGACAGCAGTTATCCCAGCTACAAAATAAGACTAGCACTGGAAGGAGACACAACACACACACTCAGCTGCCAATGTAGTCACTGAAGCCAAACGCTAAATACTGAAGTAGAAATCCAGTCACATTTTGAGAAAAATACAATCAGGAGTGTGACCTCCAAAGAGATCTCAGTGAAGCTGCACATGTCTGTACTCTTGTAGTTTCTTGACTATTTGCTGTGCACAACTCTTTATGTTGTACCATGCTCCATTGCCTCGCATCAGCTTCTGCATGTTATTAATGTATTGTTCAGAATTATGTCTCATAATATCACAAGGTTAATTAATGCTGGAAATGTGGAAAAGATTTCCAGGGGCCTATAGCTTGATTAGACAGGCATGCAGTAAAACAGCTTTTTTAAAGCACCACTCACTGGTTCTTAACCTTGGGTTACTCAGGAGTTTTGGACTGCAACTCCCAGAAGCCTTCACCACCTGCTGTCCTGACTGGGGTTTCTGGGAGTTGCAGTTCAAAAGCATCCGAGTAACAAAGGTTAAGAACCACTGGGCTAGATAACTCATCTTGTGCTCAGTAACTCTTCCCACTACCACTTAGGAGTTGCTCTAGTCTAGAACTACTTACAGGTTTGTTTGAAGTTACTACTTGATCATCTTACTCAGTACTGCCTATGCTGATTGGCTATTTTTCTTCAGAGTCTTAGGCTGAGAGATTTCTCATCATTTGCCATATAATGAGGAGGAGCCATTCTGTCATAACTTTTATTCTGTAGGTATTTTTTACACCTGACAGGTTTCCTCTTCTATTACAGCTGCAGGCAAATGGTGACAGAGGCTTTGAAAATGTGGAACTCGGTGTCATAGGGAAAAAAAAGAAAATTCCAAGAAGAGTTATCCACTTTGCAAGTGGTGAAACTATGGAAGAATACAGTACAGATGAAGAAGAAGATGAGCAACAAGAGAAAAAAGACCTCTTGCCTTCTGTTGATCCAGTAGGTTTGTTTCTGAAGTTCATTTGCTTCATACAATGATGAGCTGCATCATCCATGTGTGATCAAATTTCTCAATGTGCAGAAATAAAAATGTATAAACTCGTGGACATTTTTGTCCTCATTTGATGGGTTTATTTTTGTAGAAACAGAAATTATTATATTGGCATGTAAGTTTAAGGGGTGGGATAATAGATAAAAAAGATTGGAAGAAAATTTGGAATAAAAGAGTTTTTAAAAATATGTGTATCAGAACAAAAGAAAATGGGTATAAAATAATATGGAGATAGTACTTAACTCCAATTAAACTAAATATTATGGATGTTAGTTATAAGAAATGTTGGAGATGTGACAAAGAATTTGGAATATACTGGCATTTATGGTGGAATTGTGAAGTGGTACAAAAAGTATGGTGTAAAGTTTTTGAAGAGATTAGAGAAACAAAAAATAGCATTATTGTTTTTAATAGAAAATGATGATATGGGGAGTGTAAAAAAAGAGATGATAACGAATATGTTAACATCAGCATGACTGCTCATTGCAAAAAATGTGAAACAAAATTGGGTTTTCTAATTGCATGAATGGCATAATGAAATTTGGAATATTGTAATTAATGATAAATTGACGTCAGAAATTAAGTTCAAAGAAGGAGAGTTAAAGAAAAATAGATTTAACAAGATATGGGATGAATTTATAAATGCTGTATAGAGTAAAGAGAAAAGTGAAAAGCTAAACCAAGATTATATGTATTTTTGGAAGGGATATGGGGACAGTTAAGTTGAAGGTCAGATATAAAGATATAATGGTCCCCAGGGTGAAGGGAGCACTGTTTTGTGGGGGGGTTTTGTATGTAATTTGTGTGGATAGAATTAAATTTTATGTTATATTTTATTAGTGTGTTTAGTTTAAAAACTTAATAAAATTATTTTTTTAAAAAGAAAATTGCTGGGATGGATGTGTTTTGGGAGGGAAATGCACATTTTCAACTTCCATCTGCCCTATGAACTTTTACAGTGCCATTGAATAAAGCACAATACATCTCTCATTTGCAACAGAGAGATAATTCTAATCTATTTTCCACGTAAATATAATTTACATGTCTGTTTGTAAAGAATATTGAGATAATTGATCTGTTGTAGTAGAGGCAGAATGTCATAAATGCAGAAGAATTATGTCCTGTATCTTCAGAACGATACTTCTGAGTGACAAGGCGCTCTTGGGAACAAGGGGGGTGGGATGTGATACAGGGAAACTACAGTGAAGGGGGAACTAACTGAAAACTAAGTTGGAATGCATTATATTGGGCAAAGAAAATATCAGAATCCAAGCCAATGAAATGCTTGAACGTAGAATAAACTAGATAGGTTTCAAGTATCATTTATGGAAAATGGAATGTAAATTTTAATTTAAGGTCTGGGGGCTGTTAAGAATTCTGATTGATTTTTAGTACACATGTTTTATTTTTAACTAGCCCATTTTCTGATTGCATGAAATTTCTGTAATAGGTGGTAAATAGCTGAGTTGACAACCTGATTCTAGTAGTTGCTTCTTATGATATATGGGTTAGAAAGCATAGAAAAAACACTTCTGATGCATGATTAAAGGATTACATGTGCAAAAAAAGGATAGCTGCCATTTTGTACTAAATATGCTGAGCTGGATCCAGACATGTTCTCAATGAGATTCTTTAGGAAAAAGGGATGTGACAAAAATCTTCTCTAGTTTTCCCCTGTAGCGTCCACTGCCACCTCTGACGTGTTAGATACGGTTCAGAGGACACCTTGGAGCACAGTGGACAATGGTCTGAAGAAAATGGTAGAAAGTTAATGAAGTATCGCTTTCCTGTAATATATTGCTGTGCTTTAGCTGCTGCCTGGTTCGTTACACAAAGAAAGATGCTCTAGTGTTTGTTGAATGGATGTGTTTCAAGTCACACTACGATGGATATCTTCTAACCCAGGGATCATCAACCCCGGGTCCGCAGCCTGGTGCTGGTCCTTGGGCTTGCCAGAACTGGGCTGCAGATACAAAGTATCGCTTTCCTGTAATATATTGCTGTGCTTTAGCTGCTGCCTGGTTCGTTACACAAAGAAAGATGCTCTAGTGTTTGTTGAATGGATGTGTTTCAAGTCACACTACGATGGATATCTTCTAACCCAGGGATCATCAACCCCGGGTCCGCAGCCTGGTGCTGGTCCTTGGGCTTGCCAGAACTGGGCTGCAGATACAGATCGCTGCTCAAGTCACACTACGATGGATATCTTCTAATCCAGGGATCATCAACCCCGGGTCCACAGCCTGGTGCTGGTCCTTGGGCTTGCCGGAACTGGGCTGCGGATACGGATCGCTGCCCCCGCCACACGCACCTGTCACGCTTACAGGGGGGCGTGTCATGCCCGTGGGGGGCATGTCACACTCATGCGGGGGGAGCTTGTGCCCGTAATTGGTGTGTCATGCTCGCACTGGGACATGTCATGGCGGGCGTGTCACACTTGTGCGGGGGGCATGTCACGCATACGCGCGAGTAGGGTTGCCTAATGTCCTCGTCAGGCAGGCAAAGATAAAAACCTTTAAAATGTCAGGCTTTTGTATATTTTATGTTATAATTTTGGATGGGAGAGGGAGAGGTGGAAGGACCCCCTTCCCCCTGGCTTTCCTTGCCCCCACCTGCCCGCCCACCCCCGGTATTTTGAAAAAAAAAGCCTCCATTGAATTTATTTTTAATTTTTAACATGACTGTTTCTTGGTCGGTTCACTAAGAGACATTTATTGGCAGCTATTGTAATAAAATTGTATTGATTGTGAGTTTAATCTGGAATGATTCAAATGAAACATTCAATATGTCCTCCTTTGTCCTCCTTTTTGTCT